GCTAAAGCAATGACAGGTATAATCTATCTGAAGATCTTAAACAATCTCGTTTCATAATATTCATGTGTTACCTTCCCAGGTAAGCACTCCTGGTACACTACGCATCACAGTATGAATCACAGACCTTCTGACCTCACAGCTTTTTTAAAAATACTTTATTTTGTTTTTACAAGGTTAATGGGCATATATACACAGTTCAAAGAACTGTTCTGATATTTTTAGAAAAAAATCGATATCTTTCCTGTAACTTTATAGTGCTGTTAGGGTTCACTTTTTTTCCCATCATTTACTYATGGTAAAAACTCCAATGCTCTTTAAAATACCTCCTCAAACTACTGTATGTTATTTGTTGTGAAATGTTACTATTTCCCTTTGACTCTTTTCTACAAAGGCTAGCTGTGTTCCTTTCAAACTTATATTTGTTTTCTGCACTAAATCTGCTTAGGAAAAAAACCCCACAAATCTAAACAAAAAAAACATATTAGAACTCTTTTTAGATATCTTCAGAAATACTTTTCTAGCTTTCCTCATTATTTACATGTTTATATTTCAAAATCCTCTGCCTAGAACACCTTATTTTACCAAAGGCCTATCACTATGTAAATTGCAAAATACAAAACATCACTTGAGTAAGACTAAAAGCTATAGTTTAASAGAACAAAAAATTCAATGATTTTGTTGTATGAGATAACAAAATAGCCCAAGTATTTCTCAATAATATGAACTGTCTGCCACGATTTATCTGTACAATTCCATCACAGCTCTTTCCCATTATGTTACATTTTTGAAAAATGTCATTAAGCTGCCATAAAAGTCATCTCAAAATGTTTTTCTCTCAAACTGATAATAGACTTATAGATCTAATTTTCAACCTCTTTTCTTCATTACTTTGATTCTTAAGGAGAGTATGACATTTGCTGTCTGAATACTTTGTAGTCATATCTGGCATCCCTACAGCATTTCTGTCTGAGGATCCCCAAGCTCTGAATACATTTGCCTTTACAGCACCTTCAAATGCTGACATATTTGCTTGTCTTCCTTTTGCAGAGATGGAAATAGTTAGAAGCAGATTTTTAAAGACATGGGGGCTTATAATTTCATTGAGAAGTTACAAGAGCTTTTGTTGTTGTTGGAAGAGGGTGGGGGGCATCAAACARAACAGGGTTTTGTACTGTAAGATATCACCATTCTGACATTTCTTGGCTCAACAAAAATTAAGAACAGAAGACAAGCTTTCTGCCCTTTCTTTTTGGTTTTGTTTTCTTTTGCATGTATTCTGAATTTTTTCTGTAACTAGAGGGACTATCATCTTCTGAATCCAAAGATTGCATAAATATTACTAATTACAGAAGCTAAGTAATAGACGAATCTTCACCAAATTAAAAATTAGATTCATTTCTCATGGTGATCCCTCCTCAGTTTCTTATCACTTCACATACGAATTGCTTTTTGTTCAGAGGTTTAACATATAYGAAATAAAATTCAACACCATTCTTGAAGTTGGATTTTTCAGGGACTAAATGCAYCAGCAATTTAAGCAGGGCACAGGCTGTTTTTGCAAGTTCCTTGTAGAGTTAATGAAAGTAGCATCACATAGGAGGAGATCACAGGTGAAGTATAGGAAATCAGGGAGAAGAAATGGAAGGACAAAACAAGAGTTGAAAAAAAGCTGACAAAAACCCACGTATCATTCGCCTCTACCAGCTATTTCTCCAGCACCCACTGGTATGTATCTTAAGTSTCTAATCAGACATTTCCAAAATGTGGAAATGGTATTACTGGTAGCACATAAGCTAAATATATACGAAGTAGTASAGAAAGACTGTCTTGACTGCTGCTACTGCTGTTTGTGGGCATATTGGAGGAAAAGATTTGGAAAGCTCATCTTCATTCTCCTGTAACAATGGTACTGAAACTGAGCCAGTCATTCTATTTTATTTGCAGCTAGAAACTTCTGGTCTCCCACTCTAAAGCCAACATCAGATTTCACCTTCCTCGATTAGAGTAAAAATTCCAACAAATTTATAAAAATCAGATACTGGTTCTCAGTTTGCTTAGTCTTTTGATGTCCTTCCATAAGAAGTTGAAGAACTTTTGAGCCACTGTCTTCTTTAATGTACATCAAGAAGATTAAGTTTAGATGAACTTTTTATGAAATACACTTTAGAACAATTAAAAAAAAAATACTTGTAGATAGTATACTTGCTATAAAACACAGACAGCACATAATAATGAAGGCTTTCAGTTTACCTGAATTTGTACCTGGAGTACCAGAACATTAACTTTTGAAATGTCAAACAATTTAATTAGATATCTTAATATTAGCTTTTAGTGGCCACATCTTCCCAAATCAACAAAAGCAAATCTTCTATTCTGTGCTCTCTGGCACATACCATTTAAAAAATAAATCTTTTTAAGATCAAGAAAAGCACATTATTTTTATCATCTGTTAACCAAGTTTCTAATTGATATGCAACAAAATGCCCAGCTACCCCAGCAATCATTCATGATGGAATGCACTTTAAGCTAATAGTTAATCAACTTCCCCCTAAAAAAAGGCAAACAAACAACAAAGCTCTTACATAAGGCTTCCACACACAGAGGCCACACAAACACAGAGAAGCACTTCACAGAAAAGCTGCTCTTATCCATTACTTCCAATCCCAGYGACACGGTACCCCACTCAGTGTTATCCAACAGGTTAATGACAGAGCTACAAATAGAAGCCAGGTCTCCTCAGCCCCAGGCGAGTCCTTTCCCTACTACACCACACTGCCTGATGTTTCCTTGAGAATTCTCTCAGGCCAAACTGAGAGTCAGTCAGTTCTATTAAAAAAAAACTAAAACACTTAACACCATAACATAGTCAMCCACCTTCTGCTATATCTCAAGAAATCCAGAGAGGCCTTTAGAGCATCTACTCAGGTTGTGCCTGTACTTCACAGCAGCAGGACACTTCTCAGACTAATTAGCTCATGTGGAGTTCCCTCACTATATTGCTTCTGAGCTAGCTCATTTATCTCCATATATTACATTATGCCATAGACACACCCTCAGACAAATCAATTTTTTCAGGTAAGGAAAACACACTTGATGAAGCAATAGCTGTTTGAGAGAKAATTATCAACAAATGTTATCACTATACAACCACTTTTATTTTCAGTTCAYTTTCTGGTTTAAATATATCTTCATATATCAGAAATTATTTCATTTAAWACAGGAGAAAAATGCATTGTACCTCTCATGTCAGAAAACAGAAAGACAACAATAATTTAGACAAAATTTGGTTAGAGGATAAAAGGGTGTCCTCTAGCATCAGGGATGTCATTTGCTGTTCTTCAGACCAATTAACAACAGTCTAAGTGTAAGAAGTTCAGATTCAAAAAATGTTTGCACTGTAAACCTGTTTGTTTGCAGCACTTTGTCCATATAAAGCATGTTTAAAGGCACGTTTCTCTTGCACATCTTCCTCAAGCCTTCCAACACCAATCTAACACTAATCCCTGGTTTACTCTGTCTGTGCTGCCAGCATCTCCCTGTGAAAACCACTAACAAGGTAGGTGCTTTTACAGTTCATCAACACCAGTCCAGTACTGAAGAATTAGAGGTTTGTTTGCCAAGAATACAGTTACTTAAACCAGAGTCATGCAGTAGCGTCAAGTTTTCAAATGAGCTATAATACATGTACACACCCTCACCACATGAAAAGAATATTTCAAAAAGAAAGTCTAATTTTCAAACTGAAGCACTTCTCTCATCTGCACGGAAATACTTATGAAATTTTCTTCAGATAAYCCATTATACTGACTTTTCCATAGCATCCATTCCTTGTTCCAAGAACAGGACAAATAGCACTAACACTGAATGAGTACTCATTCAATACCTCTCTTTTTCCCTGCTGTTCAATATGTGGCATTTTGATATGATTTACAGGGCCTATATGTAGACTCAGAACTAGAAAGTTTCTCATTTCTCTGTTGCTCATTGCTATATACCTGAATCATTACCTAATACTAATTAATTTATTCACTACACAGCAACTCCATCAGGCAATTTTATGATCCCCATTTTCACACAGCAAATGGAGCCAGTGATGTGCATCAGGATTGCCCATAATTAGGGATGCTTGTCTYGAGATGCTTCAGGTCTCTCAATTAAACAGCACTTTGTCAGTACAAAGTACAATTTCAATCTATTTGAGTACTATCGTGTGTTTTCAAAGCTGACATAAATCAGTCCCAAGAGTCTGAGCTCAGAAAATGAGAAGTACCTAAATAAAGTCTATCTAAAAAAATGTGGTTGAAGTGATTTGCCCCATGACACACAGACTGAATTAAGATTTGGTTCTAATCCTCCAGCATGGTACTCTCAGCAGGCCCAGCTTTAAAACTCATCTCTTCTAGTCTTCTCCTCCCTCTTTCTCACATTCCTTCCAGTTTCGGAAGTATGGGGAAGCTTTAAAGGAAACAGCCTCCTCATTAATTATCACACCTAGATTCATTTCCTAAACATTGTTTCTAAAAGTATCAGGCATCTTGCTGAGAAATAAATAGTCTTAAATGACATCAGTAGATGTTACCTTAAGGCAACAAAACTCGAGTTTGCACCAAAAATTTCAATTTTGCGACTTTTTTTTTTTGTATTGAGAACTTTGCATTATGTTACTGACAGAGCACTCCAAGCTTCCAGAGTTTTATTTTCCTGCAGACTCAAATAATATAATATTTAWTTTTTTTGCATGCTCACTGTCCCACTTGCGGCATTCGCAGCTTCTAGAACGGGAAAGTCCTGCAATAAGGCAGGACACCAACCAATACCCAACCTTTAATTCTAAAAGATTGAAGTGTTTTTGATTTACAAAGCACAGTAGTGGCATGCTGCAGTCAATGTCTGTCCACACTGTTTCTTCATAAATAAATCATGTGTTTTTTAAATTGTGCTAAAAAAGGTCAGGAGGGGGGATGGGGCATGAAAGGATTGAGATCAAAATGAAAACTCACCTCATTTCCACCAACAGCTTTGGTTAAAATTACTGCAGAAGACACAGGAGGTGGCATGCAGCCTACTGTCTGCAAGCTGCAAACAACAAGAAGAAATGTTACATTCCTTGCATCATGCAAACACTCTACAACCTAAAAATCTAAAATACTAAATAGTTGAGTCCATATGTACTTCATTTTCAGTCAATATATAATACAAATCACAATTAAGCTTTTTATTTAATGAATTTTAAAAGGCATCAAGTATTTTATTTTTATGCAGAGTTTTACTTCTTGGCAACATCATCTGACTTCTGTTTATGGAAACATCAACAGTTTTCCCCTGCACTTAAAGTTTAAAAAGTATAATTATCTGTCATTTCTTCTGTTGTTTGTCCATCACGATTATCAATGGATGTAAGGGCTGCTGCAAAGTCAGAATAGAAAAACTGCGATCTTTCTTCTGTTTTAAAATATAGTCCACAAAAAGCCATTATTGCAAAACAGAGTTGTATCAAACATACAGTTGGAAACAACCAGGAATATACTGCAATTGCTCCCAGGGAACTTTAGGGATGAGCAAAATAGGCCTTCTGAAGAAAAAAATGCATTTAGTTGGATGGAACTGTAAAGACAGGAAATACAAAAAAAAAAAAAAAAAGTGTGGATTATCAAAAAGCAAGGACTCCATGTATGTTATTAAGTACTGGCGTGTGACACAGTATCCCTGTTCATGGCAAGTGCTGGTGGTGAACTACTTTGCACCTGTAATTCTATTCTCAATTCTATTCTATCCACTTTGTCAGCTACAGACACAGTAGGAAAGAAAAAAGGCTTCCAACATGTGCACTCTATGGATGCAACCACAGGAAGTGCCAAGCATTGCCTTGGAATTGCTTAGTGCCTTTAGCTTATACACAAGCCTCTGAAAGCAGGATGCTCTCAGTGGTTAGTGGCGTAAGCACATAGTGAAAAGGAAAGACATGGAAAAAAAGAAATAGTGAAAAGCAGGAAGCACAGGGCGATTCTGATGTTCACCCTCGGTATCGGTTGTGACATCAAATCTCTCCTATAACAGTAACTTAATAGCTTGCTTCTGGAACTCCTTACCTGCACTAATAAAGGATGAGCAAGTTCAAAGCTATCAGRAGAAGTATGAAATGTGTGCAAGTGCATTCATCTCAGTTAAAAGGGATGTTACACATCTTAAGACAAAGGTTTAATAAACAAGATCCATGTGAAAAATAAAAATATGTGTTTGGAATGAAAAAAAATCACCCTCAAGATATGATTCTAAACATGCTCCATACAAAAATGTAAGTCTACAGAAAACAGGATATATGTTAAATGAAAATGATTTTAATCACATGCGTATCACAGCATTCATCTAAATTGCCCGTCAATCTTTTTTTCCTTACTTTATTATCAACTCCATGCAACACACGAGCATCAGGTGACTCCTATAATGGGCAGCAACAGAGCACTGCAGACAACAACGTTCCACCTGCCCAGGCAGCGCTCGCTACACGTTAGTATTGTAGGACCTGCTGAAGGGCCATAAGCACAGTCAGGTCTGTTGATGCACTACGGACAGCTAGACAGGAGCAGCGTGTCTAGCCACACCTGCAACTGCCAAAGCTGCCCCTCGAGCRAGGTGCCTCACCAACGGCACTGTAATGCCATACGCTAACAGGCAGAAGCGAACACAGGCAAACATTGGATAAGCTGCTCCATGTTCCTTTGCAGAGGGATCCTTTCAATACAAAACCTCATCAGTTAACAAAAAAAAAAAAAAAAAAAGTCAAAAACACACCAAATATTAGTTTCTCATCCGTTTTATATATTTCAACATTACTGCAGAACAAAAACAGGATCCCAGGCAGAGGGGGAAAAGTCCACAGTACTAAAGAAACATACACGAAAAGCTGATAACATCTGAATTTGCCTCACAAATAACCATCTGTTTTGCTGTAAATGTTATAGAGGGTGGGAGAATCTACCATTCATGAATTAAAACCTGAAAGCAAGGCAGGAAATTAACTGTGGGCTTGACCATGTCCTTTAGGCATAGCCTTATGTAGACAGTAGCACAGAACTACAGTCCCCGTGGGAGCTGCCCTGCCAAAATGAAGCTGAATGTCCTTGGGAGCACGTGCCTAATTTTTCCAGGCCTTTKTAAGGACTATCAATTAGCTCCTGCTCCAAGCTGTGCTAAAGACATGTGATGAAGAGAAAGCCTCTCTAAACTCCATTTTATCACTCCACTTCCTCAGTAGGATACTTCAGTGTTCTGAGGTAATAATAACTACGATTGTGGGGGCACTCAGGTAAAGTTCCAATTAGAGTGCATGAGGCACAAGCAGTTCCCCTTCTTTTTGCTCCATTTTTGTGTTCATATGTATATGAGTAAATGTGGACATCTTCTACTCTAATATGCATATTAAATGGTCTTATTGGACCATTCTTTGAATAAAGMCAACATACTACAGTGTTACAATAATAAAGATAAAACATGGCCAGAACAGAAACAGTACTCAATGAGTGAGTGCTTGCAAGTCTGCTTAAAGCATATAGAACTTTGTTAGCTCACAAGTAAAACACAGACACCACTCCACGAGCAGGAGGAGGAGAAAAAAAGGCCATTTTAAAATGCTTAGTCACCCATAACATRTATTTGTCATGCACACATTTGCAGTTTCACTTGTGTCTATGTATATACATAAACATACACCTGCACACATAACTGAAAATGTGCCCCTTTAAGAACCAGAGTGACATAAGAAGCACCAGAGAAAGAGGGATAAGAAGTAGTGTAAGAAATTAAAGTCATCAAAATTCCTTGAGCTTCATACTTCAGGAAGAGACTGTCATGGATTAGGAGGAATTGAAGCTTGCTGTTAAAAAACCCATGTTTTGGCCAGCTTCTACTCATCCCAAAGTTCTCCGGTAAAAGCTTTATTCTCTTTTTCCCCCCCCCCTCCTCCACCACTTAGCCAGGAGCAGATGCTGTACTCTAATCTGGACATATGCAAGAGATCATCAGTACAGACTGTTTGAAAACAGGACAGAATACCAATACACGCCATACCTAGTGTGTATTCATGGGCATGTGTTTCTCTTCAGCAAACATTTTCTTTCCCCTCCACTCTCCTCGCAACCTAGCACAGCAGCTGCCCATTGTGAAACTGGAAGCAGACCTGTTGCAAGCTCCCTGCATATGTAACTAACTGAACCMGGTCGCTGAAAGCACAATCTCGTGTGTAGTGTGTTTTCAACAGCAAAGCACTGAGGCACAAAAACAAACAACAAAACCTGTTCACAATACAACTCATAACACACATATTGCATGATGAGCAGCCCTTTAAAGAGATAGCAACAAACATATTTCAATCTATTATGTTTAAACATACCCTTTTAAAAGCCATTCATTTATAGGTGTGATTGATAATAGCTGAAGAAAGAGCCAGATTGCTGTTGGGAAGAACACCAGTGTAAAAATCTGGACAAAAAGGTGTAGTTTCACATGCATCAAAGCACTTGTCAGCTCCTGCAAGAGAAAAAGAAGAGAGGAAGTTGCAGTCATAGCAGCCAAAGATCATGTTTGTGCTTTAAAACTAGCATCATCTTTATAATACAAAGAAAACGTATGTCAGAGGCACCTTTAGGGATCATCCATTCTCCTCTTTAATAGCCATGGACATCCAGACAACATAAAGGCTCTGTGTTCCCTGAGTTTTTCTCAAAGCAATTGCCCACCTCCTCAGTACTAGCATAGTTCTTAACAGTAGCTTTTCAGCTGATAATCTTATCACYATTGCACTGCTTCAATGCCTGTGTAAGCTATACTGATTTATTACTTACTTTATTGACTGCTAATAACAAGAAAAAGGGGATGTTGCAGTGTCCATGTGATTTAAACTTTCCTTAGTCTAAAGAGAGCTATAAAGTGCAATTCTTCTTTATACCAGCAGAAAGAGATCTTTGTTACAAGGAGTCATCACCCAGGGGCTTTGTTCTATTTTGCTTTCCTCAATGAGAGGAGAGCAAACAAAGTAACAAAGGAGATTTTGATTATTTATTGTAATAGGAAACCTTACAAAAACTACTGAATGTCAGAGTTTGCCAATGAGAGAGCTCACGTATAGAAAGAAATTAGACCGTTGAAGAACAGCTAAGAAATAAATAACAAGCCAAGTCAGTAAATGCAGCAAAATAATGTGCAAAACTCAGTTGGAGATTGAAAAAAAATATAATGAATATTATGTTGTTATTCCACCATACCTTTCATTAAAAGAAAAGCACTCTAAAGAGGTGAACAAGGATCATCTGGAAGTATAAGCAATTAGGCACCATGCCCTTATTGTAACACAAAATAAGGACTTCAAATTAGCATCTTGACTCTTAACCCAGTTTGATGAAGACAGCACCACAACATTCAATTCTTGGTTAACTGAATGAATGAAGGGAATTTGAAGAGGAAAGGGTTGTTTGTTTTTTAAAGAAAATTCTCAGGCAGGCTACTTTCAGCCTACACACACACAAAATATATATTCCTTAGACTGAAGGTCAAATAGTAACGCAAACAGCTTTTGCCCTCTCAAGCACTCTGCAAGTGCCTTGCCTCAAAATACTAGAATCCTCAAAAAGAGTGACCACTAGTCACTAGAATCCTCAAAGAGAGCTGGCATCTCAGAAATTATGCTAATTATGACTCAGTTTCCCCTCACCGAGTGCGGACACAGGTTATTTTGTCTTCCTCAGTATTTTAGACTCTCAGAAAGTTTTGGCAAGTTTCTCTCTGGTCAGCGTAAGCCCTTGTTACCTCCCATTTACACTAAGCTGGTCAGAGCTGCACTCCTCTGGCAAACGCATACACAGAGCAATAGTGTTTTCAGTGGGTCACCAGATTCCTCATTTAAATGTGTAACTAAAGTACAGTGCTTAATTTCTTGGGGCCTACAGTAAGACTTTCATAAAAAAAAAAAAAAAAAACAAGCTAACCAGTCACCAAAAACTGAAAAGGTGTCAGAGTAAGGTGCAGTCAAATGTTCTTGCAATTCCTGGCCACAAGCACTTTTTATAGACACAGGAGCACCACAGTCATCCTTAGTTTTGAAAACGTGATAGGCTGTGCACAAAGTAGCTCTCCCTGAAAGCTCTCCTTTACTTTGTAAAATGCTTTCTAAATGCATGTTAACAAGTAATTTTCTGAGCATGCATTTTCACAACAGATAAAGTTCAAAGTCTAAATTTAAAAGAGCACTGGCCATTTCTGCTTTTTTATTAGATTCTTTTCTTCAAGGAATACATGTTCAGTTAAATCTTATACAAATTCTTTTCATGAAATACCCTGTTACTGAAGTCAAAATAGTAAATATGCAGACTATTCAGAACTAATTAAGACAAAAGCAGAAACAACTTATTTTGCAACTCAGTAAGAAGATATATGTAATAAATAATACCAACCTTTGATTGTGTTTCTCAAAACACTATAGGATATATTAAAAAAAGAAAAAGAAAACATAGACCAAAGCATTTTAATAATAGCATAACCTAGCCTCCTAGCTAGATTCAGGACATTTCACAACAGTTTTTATTATACTTTTTTCTTTTTTAAGTAGCAGCACTAGGACTAATTGCTGTTTTTTCCCCCCCTTCATTTCTGCTATAGGGTTAGAGGATAAAGAGTTACTTGATGAAATATAGAGCTAGATGCACACTACCACCTAGTTGGACACGCAGCTCGTGCAAAGACTTTACTTATAGATACATTCCTTTCAGAACCATACAGGAAAAAAGTTAGATGAGTTTAAAGTGGGGCATGACAAGTTGTCAGGAACTTGTCAATCATACCACCTTAACTGGAAAACATTAGACAGGGGAGATATAGTAGCACTGGGAATCAAGCCAAGATTCTGATTACACCACATTTCATTCTCATTCTGAGAAGCTTTACAAATCTGAAGTTTCAAGGATTCAAGGTACTAGAATAAAAAGTAGTTTTTCATTTTGTCTTCTGCATGCAAAGATTTTTAATACTGAATGCAGAAAATAACACTCTAAAAGTGCCCCTCAGGTTCTGGGTTTGGGGTCCTCTATGGAAAACTCCAGTGTCTCTTTGCATTAGGACACGTTACTGTTCCAATGAAACATAAATYGATGTTATTCTTTCTTCCACATGTGATCACAATGCTCTAAACAGCTGCTACAGAACTGACTACAATTATTCCCTTACACTGCACACGGGCAGAATCTAGAGGTCCCGGTGTCGGACTTGCCTACCTACCTAATCAAGCACAGGAAGAGAGRACCAGCATCAATTCAAACAGTCTTCACCTCACACATTATCATCACAGTCACGATACAAGTACAGAAATTAACTTTTCAGTTCAACATATACTGYCCAAGGCCCACTGAAATTTAACCCAGAAGATATGGCAATACAGACAACACCATGATGCTTTCTGGCATTAATTYGAGAAACATGCAAATGACATGTTAGCACAGAGAACAGAGTAAAGGAAACCAAGACACTAAACTAAAAAAGACATACAGTGTTTCCCTTCAATCCTGGCTACTCAGTAAGAACAGGCACCTCTTCTGCTCTTCTTGGCATATTGCAATCACTTCCTGTTCCCTCCTCAATTTATACTTCATCAAGAGGTTTTCTCCTTCATCTCCTTTTACTGTCAGATAATTGTTCTTAGGAGAGAGAAAAAAAAAAAAAAAAAGAAGAAGAAAAGTGCCTGCAATGTGCTGGAGTGTAGGAACTTTAAGTCTACCTGGCCACAAGAGACAGATAAATCTTACAAAAGTCTGCTCAGACTTTGTATGAGTTATACCAACCATACATCTACAGAAAAACCCCCTTCTTTTATTGATATTAGCTGCTATCACAGGCCTACCCAATGTGATAAAGTCACTAGATCTTAGAACTTTATCAGCATAAATGTGAGAGAGACAAGCACACAGCCTTACTTAGGGAACATGCTGGCATGACACGTGAAAGAGACGTTGAGATCTCACAGCTGTTCTCAGTGCCTTACAAATGCAGGGCAACTCCATGCAGCTTCTCTACCTAGCTCCCTATGAAGTTCCCCTCTAGATTCACACAGTTCTCCCGCCTGCATCTAAACTGAGCAGCTGGACAACATCATGGAACCATGGTGCAGAACAGGTAGACATGGCCCCTGTGGATGGGTGAACTTCCTTCACATTCTCCTCACAACCTACACTGCCTCATCAAGATTTTTTTCCTGAAGTAAATGGGGGATTACTTTATAAAAGTCAAATTTTGATCTTTTTTTAATCAGCCGTTCTCAACATAAAAGCCTAGCAATTAAACATTCCAGTTACATTCAAATTTGATCAAAAGTAACACAAGACTTGTAAAACAAAACAAAAATGAAGCAATTAGAAATTACAATACCTCCGTTTTTAACGAGAGTCCACTGTTAAAGAATATAGCTGAAACAGCAATGTAAGTTATGGTAATTTCTGGTTTCAAGGGTCCTAAAAAATACAGACACAAAGAATAAAGTGAACTACAGTTAAAATGATAATGATATGCATATACTGTATCAAAGTAAATGAGAGTATTTAAAAGAATATCTGGAAAAAAAAAGTCTGATCGTTACAGCTTATTTTAGAAGAGTAGGGTTTCCTATTAAGTTATAGAAATTAGTGCTATTTATTTTTAGATTAAAATCAAGTAGTAAGTGGAAAGGGAGGTATAATGCGATCAAGACTGGGCACACATGATTACAGGCCATTAGGAACTACAAGATAAGTTTCACAAATGTGGAAAAGGGAAACTTCCCAGAACTTCCCTCCCTCTCAGAGTAACCCCACAATATCAGTCAAACTCAAAGCAAATGCTCAAATGAAAACAGCAGCTGCTCTCTCCACACAGGCATCTACATCATTCACATATCTACCTCTCACCTCGCCCAGTACACACACCTGTGTGGCTGTTAAACCAGTATCTTGCAGAGAATTCCTCAGGGATACAAGGAATATTATGCAGGGATACTCTGCATAATGCCCCCACAGCAGGACGGTGGTGGAACGGTTTGTGAGAGCCCCAGTGTAACACCTTCCAGGCACCCTGTCGCAGCAAGGCCAATGTGCACAGATGCTTGTACTCCCAAGGGTTCCACTATATTAAAGGCTTAGGCTTGCACATATTTATATACCTTCTTCAAGGATGTTAAAAATCAAATATATCTCACACACCTATAAAAGTGATGAATTTCCTTAATACTCTCCACTCTTGGAGACTAACAAATGTCAAAAGTATACATTCATTTTCTTTATAACCATCCAAACAGAAATTTTATTGAAAGAAAATATTAACAGTGTACTTAGGGCCAAACTAAGATCTGAAATCTGCAAGTGAGACAATTTAGAATACAACTTTATTTTCCTGATTAATATTTGATTTAGTGACGSTAAGTTATCACGGCCAAAACTGCAGCAGCAAACAGACCGGCCTTTACTAGGCACTCCAGAAGAGAAGCTCCTTTCTTCTCTACTACATGAATGACACATTGATGGTCACACAGCACCAAGGTCAAGGATCTCTAACTTAGAGGGATTTGATCGAACACTGAAGCTACTCAAATTTGCATCTAGAGTCATATAAACCTGCTCCTGCTCTCAGAGACAGCTTTGTTGATGAGACCCTACACTTCACACTAAAGAGATGCACTAGTAGGACAAACTAAATGCAAGCACAAAATATATAAAATAAAAATGAAAACAACCTATATGAAGCACCCTGTAAGCTAAGTCAAGTTTCCAAAGTTAAAGCAATGAAACATATGGCTAGTTGCACAGTTTTATAGCATACTAACTGAATGATCAATCAAAAAGAAAAAAAGGTTAGAGAAGTGCTCTATGCATGTGCGCATGAGAGCCCACACATTAGTCAGACATTCTGTAGACCAGTTAGTCTAAGATAATGATTCTACTAGGATCCAACTTTGCTGTCACACGTTTTTCTCTGAGCTCTTGCATGGAGGGAGAACTCGGCCACTACAATATTCATGCCTGCATGCAGCACAGGACCCTGCTGCCAAGCACACAGGCTTGATTCAAATTTCCTGCAAGAGATGGATCAGGAAAATTAGTTTCACAAATGAACTAAACATAGTAAATAAACTCGCTCATCAAATAGAGAGAAAGAAAAAAAGGGAGGGCTTGACTTTCACCCTAGAAGTGGTAAGAATGGCACAAAAACTTGGTTATTTGTGGCACACTGTTCCACTGGTATGGGTGTTGGATCATTCAGTAATGTCCTGCAAATTGCTGTGTGATTTGGTCAGCTGGAAGATAAAAAATTTAAAATTCTTTTCCATATGCCGGTATTTCTCCCTTCCCCCATTTTTAAAACTCTTCCTTATGGTTTTAAAAAGGACCAGGGAGTAGCATAGGTTCAGGGATCGGATATAGGCAGGGGAAACATGCATTTGTGAGTTTTAAGCAATAGTTGCATGCTTTTGCAATCAACTTGTTCCAGGAACACTACCAAACAAAGGCCCAACATCATTTTAGCCTAAGAGATCTCCTGTTACACTGGTCACAATGAGTTTGGCAATCAAAACAAAAAGGGACAAACTGGTGAATGTTATGGAATTAAAGTGGTCCCTAAAGTCTGCTAAACACAGAGGCTCAGAAGCTCCAGGTGTTAAAAAGGATCCTCACACAGCAGCAAATTGCCTACCCTGAACTCCATGAAGCACTGGAGCCTTAGTTGCCACAGCAAGTGTTCAGAACCATTTTTAAAGTCTTTTTTTTTT